TCTTTTTTTTTTTTTTTTTTTTTTTTTTAAACATGGTAGAATCACAGTGCATATTAGTTGTGCAGTCTGCTTTCATACTAAAATTACTTTAGATGCAGGGGCTGCCTTAGAATCCTTGAACTGGCAAGCAAAGTACTTGCCCAGTTTTAATCACATCAGCTGGATTTCAGTCAAATCTCTTGGTGCTTAAAGTTCCTGTGTTTAAGTATCTCAGTTGTGATTCCAGGATCAACTTAATATGGTCCAGAATGGTCTTGCATTTAAGTACCATCTAGTTCTGGTTACAAGGGATCATTTGGACCTTCTGTTACTTCAGCTGGTTTTCTGAGGGTACGAGGCTCCCAGCTCTACTAATGTAATGAAAATAGGTAAGTCACACAGCTGTGGTTCATATAGAAGGATGCTGCATTGCCAATACTTTTACAGGATGTTTTTTGAACTTCTTGTTAGTCTAAGCTCCTCTCTCTTTTCCTGTGCTTCTGTGGTTAGATATTAATATATATTAAAATTTAGTATTACTTTAAAAGTTATTTTTGAGTGCAATGTGAATACATATTGCTCAGAGAAGGGTTGGTATTCTCATGCCTTTGGTATTACTACTTTATCTATCAAAAAAAAAAAAATAGAGAAGGAAAAAAGGTTCTTCTGACCCTGAAATTCCAGATGCCTGACATTAAAAGAAAGGACTGGGTTATCCCATAATCTATACTGGCACTGTAGCTGCTAAGTAATTTAAAGTGAATGCTGTGGAAATGATGATGTATGCTATCAATGGCTGTGAACACAGCTGTGTTTCATCAATCTCAATTTCCCGTGAGACAGAGAACTATCAATGACTTTTACACATTTGATGTCAGTATTTGGGTAGGTCTAATTATTTTATGGAGTTTTACTTCAGTCATTCTTATGGTTTTTATTCAGTAGAAAGTGAGGCACCATTATTGTAATAGCTAACAAAGAGAAATCTCAAAAAAAAAATCTGCTTTATTCATAGGAATTGAGATATAAAGTGACAATATTCCACTTTTTGACTGACTTTGCTATTCTGTCATTCATCAGATGACAGTTAAATCAGTTCTGTTCCTGACTGACAAGATATCCAACATCTGAGATGTTCAGCCATTGCACCATTCCAGACCAACTTTTGCTTGGCTATGAATTGCCACTTCTCTAATTTTTTCCCCACTTTCTGCTTCTTTTGTTCTAAGAGGTGTTTCTTTATTTACATCTCCTTTTACCTTGGCACCATATTAAATTAATTTCCAGTAATAACTCTCTTTTTCCAAATGAAAATTCCCTTAATCCTCACCTCAAGCTGTGTGAAGAAGTTACCTCAAGCTGCAGCTCACTGACAGCTAATAGTCCCCGTGACAAGGTTCTCATGGTGCTGCACTAAATGGACAGAAAAATCTGAAATTATGTGATTCTAAGGTTGCTGTATGGTGTCTTTCAAAGTTACAGACCCAAGAAGGAGCTTTGATTTATTTTGACTTAATTCAGTTGTAATGCTGGGCAAAAGGCTTGATTGCAGTCATTGTAAGGCACTGGGTGCAATACTACCCTGTTCCCACGTTACTGGTTTTCTCTAGGAGATGCTGCCAGACTGTAGTACACACACAGCATACTATGAAACGTTCTGGTGGAACTCTTGTTTTCTAGATCAGGTGGTGATTTATCCCTGCAGCAAGATTTAAAGTATTTCATATACTTGTATATATTACTTTATTATAGACCAGCTCTGTTTATCAGCTTCTCATACACAAAAAAAATAAAACTCTCATACAATTCTCATAATACCTTTGCAATGCATATCACAGGTATAACATAATTTCAGCTCAAGTTCCTGTGTTTTATTTGCATCTACCTATCAGACCCAAAGTAGGAATGTTCACTTACACTTGATCATACTTTGACTTCATGTTAGATTGCAGAAACAATATGAGATCTCCACAGGAAAGAGAAAAGGGGAAAACTGTGCACTTACCGTTTTTTTTCCTCAGTTTTAATATTAAAGATCCCTATCTGGAGCTGTTTATTTAGGGGAAAAAAATTAATATTTCTGCTATGTTTAGACATATCAGTGCAAGTAGGAAAAAAATCTCACTTCTGCTACCTTGGTGATCATTTTTAATACCAATTCTGCTGTTTACAGAATTAGTAAATTCTGCCTCTGTTTTTTGGATCACTTTTACCTTAATCTCTCTCCTTCTTAGTCCAGAAGTCCCTAGTTTTGTCTACTATTTAAGTGAAGAGTGCTTTTCATCTGTAAGTACATTAAGCTGGATATTGGGCTGTATTGTTTAGTATGTCTTGGTGCAAACCTAATATACAATATGGGTGGGATGATGCAAACTGATGGGTTGATGTGCATAAACGTAGTTCCGTTCTGAATCTAGTAATGAATTATCTAAGTAAGTGTTATGGTGTGGGTGGCTCCACAAAGCACATCTTACTTGACAGTTGTGATGTTTTGGCACATCGGTGAAATTTATGAGATCAGAGGTGGATTTTTCAGTAACTACATCACATTTTGTAGCATAAATTATAGACCTGAAAAAAGGCAGAAAAGGCAATAAGCAATATTTGGGAGGGTTTTTTGGGTTTTTTTAAGCATTGCTGGGCTTTGGTCCAAATACTAGGTATAATTTTATCAAGCTCTTTGTAAATGTCCTTCAAAAATAATTACTTCTGCTTGTCTTTTGCAAGTGTGTAGATATATGTCTCCCCAAGTAAGCCCAGAAAGAGACATAGAAATCTCTATAATATACTAGGATTTGACTTGCAAGGAGAAGTGAGTTATTAAAAGAAATAGTAGAAAAATGAAAGAAAACCTATGCCTTTAATGAATGGAATAAAGGAGAAAAGAGAACATTGATTTAATCTATTGGTTTGCTGTGAAGTAAAAGAACAGATGTTTTCTGTTAGGTCCCTGGATAAAATTCAGTAGGCGCCACTAATACTTACGGACTGGTGACTTCTGATAAGATTGAAAATTGATGTCTGTTCTATTGTTACCAAATGGATATGGCAGGTTATTCTGCTGTAGGTGACTCATTTCAGAGTACTTTAATACAGAAACAATATCTCATTTTCCTAGACTGAGACAAAAACAAGAAATGTTTTGCCAACAGTTTTCAGCTCTAAAGACATATCAGCCATGGAGAATTTAATATTTTAGGTAGGTGGTGGAACATGTAAAGCTCCTCTGTTGCAGATTTGAATCCCTTTGGATGCCTAGAGAAAGGGTAGATTATCTTTATTTGCCTGATTTCTGTTTTTCTATCACCTCTTTGAATGTCTAATTCAATCATCTACAGAGGTGCTTAGGGAGATGTGATTATACTTGTAGAGGTGTTGGAAGAAAGTTCATTTCAGCATTGGCCCAGTTTATCTGACTGCCTCTCCTTCAACAGATCCAAACATTAAACAGATCACACTTAATGGAAGTTCAAAGGCTTTCCCAAAAGGTTCTGAATTCTCTGTGATCAGGGGAAAAAAAGTTTCTTGTTTGCCTTTTTGGAAACCACTCAAAGCAACATAATTCTGGAATTCAGATTGTCCCATAGTGCTTTTTGAGAAACCTGTGCAAAGTTTGCTGAGGTCAATGTAGATGTTCCCAGATGTCTGATCAGCTTTCAGGCAAGGAGAGCAGAAAATCCATGCAGAACACCACGTGAATGCAAACAAAGCACACGTGTGATGTGTGTATTACACACATCCACATGCCTCTCTCTATATACATATACATATATAGATAAGTCAAAGGATTTGAATTCTTGCTTTCAATGTGAAACCCACTTCAGACACTGCACTACTGGTCAGGATCTTTCTGCAAAGTGACTGGAACCTTTCCTTCACACTTCTCTTACAAGGAAGACTGGAAGCCCTTCCTTCTCAGTTTTCCTGAGATTTTTGGTGTGGGGCTTTTGTGTATAGAACTACATGTACTCATCCACTGTATTTATTGTCTTGCCTTCCTGCTGTTTCCATGCCTCCTGAAAAGTGCTGTAAACTGCATAGGAGAAGGATTTAAAATAACAGTTTGAAAACTGAGTTTTCTTGATGAAGTGACCTCTAAGTGTGTTCTCGGACTTTTTAGTTTTGCAGTTTAGTTTTTTTGCAGTAGCAGATGCCCTAAAAGGACAGGCAATTCAAATTTTGGTATCATGCACAGAAAGTTGTCACGGCAACTGTGGGACTCACCTGCAAGATGTGGGGTATAAAACATGGTACTTGGACTCCAGCCTGGGACAGATTAGTTCCTACTTATGGGTGAAATTTGTGGAGAAGACAGAAAACCTGTAAAGGCCTCTTAATCAGAGACTTACGTAGCATAAAATGATGTACTCTTCTAAAGACCTGAAGAAATCAAGAAAGAATTTGAGAAAGCATGGCATAGTTCTGACCTGATGTCTTAGGTATGAGCCAGTCAATATTGTTTATAAATCTCCCCTTTCTACTTCATCAGGTCAAAAATTATGTTGACCTCCAGAACAATGCTAACTAGTTAAAAAGATTCTAAAATATAACCCAGCTGATGTGTAATAGGCATTACAGACTTGGAATGAAGTCAGATGAATGGAAACATAATTTAATTTTCCAAGTTTCTTTTACTTTTTAAGTATTTTAAATGTCTCATTATAACAGATTCTATATGGTGGTTGACTCTCAGCTGTTAGGCAGATTCAACTCTCTGAAGAGGTTTTCCTGAGAAGAAAAAGAGCCTTATTGAGAAATGGGTAATGTTCCTTATTCTTATTGAAAATGCTATAGGATTTTTAGTTGCTGTATGATCAACTTTACTTAGAGAGACATTTGTAACCTCCTACAGATGCTAATTGTGGTCTCGTGTCAGTATTATACATCACTCCATGCTCAAATTTAAGCCAGTTGAACTCACTGAAATTAGTAAACAGAGGTGAAATTATTCACATGCTCAGTTTAATGCCAAATATTCTTAAATTTTGAAGGACAAAAAATTTTAAAATCATCTAGTCAGGCTCTTTGCACAATTCAGACTGTAAATGACCAACATGTGTTTTCTACAGTGCTTCAGGAGCTGTCTGGAATCATAGAATAAGGACTTTTTAAGGATTTCTACTCTTGAATTGAAGGTTTCAAGTGGTGGACAGTCCATGATGGTGTGTATTGACTGGCTGAATGGTTAAGCTTCACTCAGAAAAGATACACTTCTGATTTTAATCTGAATTTTTACAGATTCAGCCACTGGATCTTGTATTTTATCTGCTTGGTTCCAATGGCCTTTATCCTTTTCTTCTCAAATAGCATCCAAGAACATCAACCTACTCCTCTCTAATCTTCCTTGTGAAGAAAGCTATCAACTGTATTGCGAGACCTTGAATAATTCTTTTACTTGCCTTGTTAGCCCATTCCAATTTTGTTATGTTTCAAATGTGTTTGCTCGCTCTTCTAAATTGGGAGCAATGTGCCTTGTCTGGACAGATAACTTTCTGATGAGCAACAATGTGTTGATGCTCAGAAGCGTGAGCAGTTTGGTTCAGATAAGGACATAAAACTCCAGACTTGTAAACACACTGTATTCCAAGCTCCTCGTGCTATTTCAAATATGTGCTGTCCGTCCAGACTCTGCATGAGAAAAGCTCCCTGATGTTGTAGCAGAGATACAGTAGAAGATATGGAAATGAGCAACAAAAATACATGGGAATGACAATAGCTGCGCTCACAAATTTTGTGCTTCTATTTAACAAGGAGAGCAGGCCCTATTGTGCAAGGCCTGAGTTCTTTTGACCCCTGGATTCACTAACAGCATTTGAGACCACATCACATCTTGCAAGGCTGGGTGCTATGCTGACAGAGAGCTGAAACAGAAACAAAGAGTTTTAAGCGCTAGCAAGGAATTCATTGGAAAGGCACGCACTAATCTTTGAGCACTCATTTACAGCCTAAATCTGTGTCAACAAAATAGTTTCATACTGACAATATGAAGTCAGTCAAATGACTTGGCTTTGTCTGTGACTAATCTAGGAGAAATTACAGAATTATCCAAGTTCTGGCATCCAGTTTTCTGCATGCAGAAACCCTGTCCACCTGTTCTATCTTTAGAGTTTGTCCCCCAGAGTTCAGGTCAACCATCCATATCAGATTTGCACTAGAAACTTGCTGAACTCAAGTTTCCTGCCAGGAACATAAATATATTATCACGAGTGTCTTGGAAGGGTATTGATACTTCTAGCTTATGGTTACAATCAGGGATTCGATTAGCTTTCCGCTGGGTATCAATTCATGCCGCTGCTACTGTCTTTAAAGGAGCAACTGTATCACCGTTCCCTGACGTGCCGCTGAAGTCGGGGCTGCCATTCTCCCAGATGCCACCAGATGGCAGCGCTTGCTGTGAGCGAGCACCGGCGCACACGGGGCGGTGAAAGACCCTCCTGGCCTTAAAGAGTTGCTTCCTCTTGTTTCGGCTGAGGATTTGGACCTGCTCGGGTGATCAAGATGAGATCTGATAATACACGGAATAAGAATAGTGTCCTTTTGGTGTGTTAAAAGCAGGCAGCATCCCTCTGCAGAGTGGAAAAATTGAAGAACTACATTCTTGTCAAATGAAGTCAATGAGAGCCATCGGTAACATCAGGATCCTGGCTGTTTCCCAGGTGTAGGAAAAACGTTTGGGGAGAATCAGGGAAGGTGTCTGGCATGCTTATTCATGGAGCAGGCCTGGAGGCAGGCCAAAGCAACGTAACATCTTCTCTCTGGCGACCAGTGACAGGACCTGAGGGAAATTTTGTCAGAAGAGATTCAGGTTAGAGATTAGAAAAAGGTTCTTCACCCAGAGGGTAGTTGGCACTGGAACAGGCTCTCCAGAGAAGTGGTCACAGCACCAAGCCTGACAGCTTTCAAGAAGCATTGGGAAAATGCTCTTTGGCACGTGGTGTGACTCTTGGGGATGGTTCTGTGCAGAGCTAAGAGCTGGATTCCATGACTGTTGTGGATCCCTTCCAACAGAGGTTATTCTCGATTCTATGAAAGCAATTAGAAATTAGGGACCAGTTCATCATTAGATTGAGGTGTTTGCTTTCTTTGAATGATGTAAAATTGTAAATTTAGTGTTCAAATAAGTATTTATGGGGAACAAATGTAGAAGTGGAGCAAGTGTTAATTACTTTTAGGCTGTTCACTTGAAAGGTGTTATGTCTGTACACTCCACAATGAGTGTATGTGTCTGGCTTTACATGGCTTTGCTCCCTCAAGTCAGTTTGGGAACACATACATAGTATTTCAACATATGATATGGAGTTAGGTGAAGTTTAGACTTTCACATTTCCTTTCTGATTGAAAAATTATTTGCATACGCTGTTCAAAAATTTTTAGTCTTGTTTCAGCAAAATCCTTGTTCTTGCAATCTTTTTATCAAAAAAATGTAATTTATGATGACTTGTACTTCTAATCAAGAAAGAATAAACTTCAGAACTTAACCTGGAGATGGTTAACTTACTATTTGTTTTAGAAAAATACATTATTATCTATTTTTTGTTGGGATGTAGCAAAAATCTGTTTCTATTGAGAAGAAATAAGTTTTGCCTTTGAATTATAGTAACCTGTAGGCACTCATTTTTCTCAAAGCTTTACATCCCTTGTTTTAACCCTTCATCCATTCCCTACTTTTTGGGAGGCATATTCCATGCGAAGCTAGATGCAAAATCGTGCAGCTTCATTGCAAATAAGCCTTGAGGCTATAAAAAAAACCCCAAACCAACAAATAAACAATAACAACAAAGCAAAACAACAAAACCAACAAAAACAAACAAAAAACCAAAAAAATCCCCGAACAAAAACCAATGTCTTTTTGGCTAATATTGTTACTGAAGTGACACAGATTAAAAAATTAATATATAACCCAATGGTTATGAAAACAGACTGGCCATTTATCGAAGAGTCAGTTTTATTCAGTTTCTTTCCTATAAGTACCTAAGGTGGTATAAAATATTATGTGTTGTTTCATGTTTTGATTCTTCAAAGCTGATCATGTAGGACTGGTGTAGGATGGCAACCACAGCTTCAAGCACAAGCTACAGCCACGTGGGAGCATTATCAAGCAGGAATTTTACACAGGCGATCTCCTGACACCCACTGTCCTTCAGAACAAACATCCACAGGGCCAAGCTTTCAAAACCAGCTCAAAATCCCTATTCAGTGATTTATAGGTCTGGCTTAAGGGCATATTGAGTATTTGTCTTACAGTCTTTCTGAAAGCAAAATAGACATAATTTCAAAACCCAAAGATGCTTCCCAAACATGTTATCAAATCAATTGTAATTAGATATAAAATCTTATACAGAGAACATCCTTAGATATGCTTTGAGTTTTCTAATATGAACAAAACCAATATTTTTTTTAAGCTGCTTAATCCACTTAATGAAAAGTAATGAGTAAAAGGGAGAACTGACTATTCTGATACATTTTTTTGTCATTGATTATGACAGATTAAAACTGGGAATTACTGGCTGTCCCTGAATATCACCCTCTCAGGAGCCATTTATTTGCACTGGTCTTTGAGCTCTTAGTAACCAACTTCTTTCAAACATACACTTCTAAATTAGTTACAATTTGCACTTGGAAGAGGGATATTTACAACTGACCTTTTTTGTTTTCTTATTTCTTTTGCTAGTTTGTGAGGTTTTGATTGAAGGCTTACATATTTTGGGGTTATTTTGCTTTAGCAAAGATAATTAACATTTGTATATGATTAAAGCAGTGGTCAGTCCACAGGAGGGTGTTAAGTAGAATACTTAGTATCTTTTCAGAGAGACTAGGTAACCTGCAGAGAAAAGCACCATTAGAACAAGAATTAGAAACAATATTCCTCCTGGTGGAAACTTCTAAAGGATATCTTCTGCAGGCTTTTTGTGCAACAGTGAAGGCAGTTATTAGGGTCAGTCCCTGTTGATGCATGTTGCTACTGATTAGCTTTGTCATCCTGAGCTGAAGCTGCTGATCCAAGTTTACGTTTTTTATACTCTTTGGTTGCTACTGTACAGAGCTTTGAAGTATCACAAGTTGAAATACCACAAAGCTATTCTATGCCAGTCCAGATTACTTATGGGAAAGAGATCAAATAAAAACAATATAGATACTGCAGTTAGCAACACTGACATCATCACCAGTCCTCTTTCAATTCCTCTGACATCTTTGAATCTCCTTTGCTTGAACATTTGGAAATGGTATTAAATGCTGATGAAGCAGGATATAATTCAAGTCACTAAAACCCTGTCAGTCATTCTTAGGGAATCAAACCTTTCTTTAGGGTATAGGTACCTGACATTAACTGCTCATGATATGGTGCCTGATCACAGCCAGGAACCTGTATCAATACTGCTGCATTCCTGCTCTGTGGAGTTGGGCAAACTGCAACATCTTTCAGTCCCCTCCCACAACTGGGTCATGAATTGAATTATTAGAGCTGTAGGAGACTGTATGTCTGAACAGAATCTTAATGTTGGTGTGTTCTTCTTCAAAGTGAAGGGTGTCATGGCTTTAAGATTCCAAGTTTAAATGTTGTGGAAGCTGAGGTAATAGAGGTTTGGTGATTTGGATACTCTTTCAGATTCTCGCTTGCAGTTCATTTTTAGTCAAAGCTGCATTTCTTGCACAGGAAAGAAATAGCTAATGATTACAGAAAGTCTAAGAAAAAACATTATGGAAGGAGTTAAATGCATTTCATGTCCCCTTATCCATAGTAAGGGTGCAGATATCTGTTAGTGCACATTGTTTGCTAAATCCATTTCCGTCTGCACAAATTTGGTAGTGTTAGTGTGTAGCAACTCTGATAATATCTGCTAGAAATATTTATTACAATACCTCTCACATATGAAAAAACATTAGCATGAAACAGATTCTCTAGCCCTTTTGCCAAATTTTTATCAAGCATCAGCTACTAAGTTATAAAATTATAGGGCTTTAAATGTAAAATTATCTCGTTGGGTTATTGCTGCCTGACTTTCTGAACCAGTAGCACTATTTCTTGGAAATAAACAGTAGGATACAGGATAGCTATATTTCTTAGATCATACCACCTCTGATTTGCTGATCTGTACACATCACTGGAAAACCAGAGGAGAATAAGTTCAGTCCAGGTACATTCACATTATGTCTTCTATTCGGTTTAAGACTTCAAGATTTTGTTTAGCTTTTCTCTACTCACCTAGCAATATTTTTGATTGTGAAGCACATTCTTCTCTACATCTATAAAACTGGCTTTAGTCAGTAATTTCTCTAATGACTGTTACACTACCTCCTATAGCAATCTCTTAGTAGAAAGTAAGAGAACTTTAATAAAAATATGCTATATAAACCCCTTTTTAAAGATAAGACGCTTCTATTAAAAAATAACTGTCCCAAGGGAAATTTAAATCAAGATAACTAAAAGCATGAAAAAATGGATTGTTTGAACCAAGTGTAAATTTTATCAGCAACTAGTTTTGAATACTTTGGGAATATTTTGCTTCAGAAATCACCTGGTTTCTTCAGTATAGCAACTGTGTTTGTTAGGTGTGGCCTGAAAATACCAAAAGTCATTTTGGATGTGAAGTGCAGAAGTGCAGAGATCATCACACCCATCAGCATCAGATTCTTGTTGTTTTATGTTTCAGCTATGTAATGTTTAAATAAAAATAAATTAACTGTTAAGTAGAAAGTCTTCCTGCCTTAGTGCAAATAACAACATACTCCTGGCATGACAATATAGCAGTTGTTAGCTCTGTGCTGGAGATGATCTCATAGTTGGTTTAATCAAAGAGGGACATGTGCTGTTAGAGGGCCATAGCTATGGAAATTGGATCTTCTAGTGTTCTGCCAAGAACTTTCTTTGTTGTCCTGAGGGTCACATTGCAAGGCTCATTTTGTTGTGCTGGGGTTTTCTGAGTGAGAAATCACACAGAGTTTTGATTGTGAAGCCTCAGAAGGCTTTTCTTAGATGGGCTGGGATGTGTTAGGGAAATGAGTGAACTAGTGTCATATTATATGTGCATATTTCGTTCATGGGCTGTCTGTACCTTTTTTACCCTGTCTTCATTGTCTTCTTAATATTTAATCAAAATTCTTATTGCAAGAAGCAGATGTGCCTTCATACAGTGTATCATGGTGTACATGCTAGGGTATATTTTGCCATGGAATATATCTGGAGTATGTTTTGATAGATGAGATGAAAATTCTATTTATTTGGTTTGAATACTATTACTTTTCTTTAAAGAGTAAACAAGTGCTCAGTAGATCTTATTGTTTTGTTTGCCCCTTTGTTTTTTTTTTAGCATTGGAAAACCTCTTAGGAATCCACAAAGTCAAAAATCTGCTTGTAAAAATATCTAGTACCTTTACTCAAGTGCTTGTAAAAAATGCTGTTGTTTTTAGAACAACTGCTGTTGTTTTTAGAACAACAGGCTTTTCCAATCAGTAATGAATAGAATATTGAAACATATATTTACATCAGTTTTATTAATTCTTATAATTTTTTAATACTATGCTTTTCAAGTAATTTTCTGTTTCCTGTGTTTTCTAAGAAACAGATCATGTTCTATTAAGAAAAGGCTGTTATTGCAATCTAGAAGAAATCTCTTTTAGATGAAAAGGGAAAGATGCCTGGGGTGCCTAATGTAGGAATCTCTGTCACACTGTGTTATCTGGAAATAAGAATGAAAAGGCAGTGAGATCCAGCAGTTATTACCAAAGAAACTAGAGAGACAGGAATGGAAGAATCCTTCTGACCACTGCCAGATGCACTCTTGGGGATCTAACATGTATTGCAGGAATTAAAAACATTCACAGGTGCTGTAGAAAATCCCCTAATTTGAGTCCAAATCCTGTTTATGTTGTGTTCAATAGCAGAACTCCAACAGATTTTGAAGGGCCCTTATCAGAGCCTTATTTCATAGCTCATGAAGATGACTCTTTTCCCTCAAACCAGTTTTTATCCATTTCTGTGTGACCTCAAACCTTCTTGTACATCTTCATGAAACAGCAAAATATGATATTTATTGTGCAAATGGCAAAATGAGGCAACACACTGTAAAAGTAACTCTATATTAAATGTTTTCTTTTGCTGTTATGCAGTTCATTTCAGTTTGGTGTTATAAGTCACACAGCAATTCAGCAGATTTATGGCTTTACTGAAAACTGTGATGACATATCCTTAAACTACTCCACTCTCATTCCAACAACTTGGCCTTTGTTCAATACTTGAAAACCAAGTTATCTACAAAGTGATACAAAATCCATTTTGATTTAATGCAAGAGGACATTCTTCTGTCAATTAGTATAAGTTCAAGGTCCATAGGTGCTTGATCCAGCCAGACGCTTAGGGCTGCTTTTATCTCTGAGCTTGCAGCCTGGGCAAGCCTCGTGCTTGCTTGCAGTCCCATTGACATCCATGACTAGTGCATATCTCCAAAGCTTATTGGTGCTTTCAGCAGGTGTAAATTAAAAACAGTCATTCAAACAAACTGTGCTCAATTGTAGTTTCATGAGCCACACCTTGTCTTTATTCCCTGTGATTATGTTTCTTCCAATGTGTTGCCTGTATCTCCTGATAGTGATGAACCGTAGTTCACTTTGAGAGAGTTGGGAGTATAATTTCATCTCTCGAGCATACTTTTCCCCTGAATGCCATGCTAGGAATGTATTAATATCTCTTTTATAGGCCAGAGGAATGTGGAACATGCATACTGACAGGGTGTTTGGAGCCCAAAGGAGGACAACTGAGGAAAGAGGCTGGACTGATGGAAATGCTCTTCCCTACAGGAAGTAAGAGTGGTGGAATTTGCTGTGCCACACTTTCATACTGAGCTTCTTCTCTGTTTTGCTAGTGGCATCCCTACGCAATGTTATATCATCTGTTCCCAACCCTTCACCAACACCATCCTCTTTCATGTGACCTTGCAACAACCCTGGGTGAAATAAAATGAACTGGATAGTACAGTTTCTTCCTGAACTTGCAAAACATAATAACAAGCTTGAAAACAAGGAGGCAAGAAAGAGAACAGATATTTATTTCATGCCTCTCTATTTCTTTAATTTTAACTGTCATTTATGCTTTCTCATTTGTGTTTCTCTGGTATTGCTTGAAGCCCCATGGGTTGTTACAAGTTCTCGCTAATTAAGAAGATGATATATTTTTCTGGCAATTCTTTTTAGGCTCCTTGCTTTCTGTGGTCTAACTGTGGGTAGACTTTATCAGCCGTATGCTCTTTTATGTGCTTTCTATTTCTGCTAAATGGAAAAGTAAAAGCATATTAATTTGCATTTTGCACTCTTTAGTCACAACCCTGTGGCTGTTGGTTGGTTTTTTTTAAACATGGATTATTTCTCAACATTGCCAGTATTGTTATGAAAACTAGTTGTTGTCTTCATTGCCCTTGTAGCCCTTTTCCACTCAGAGCATTTATTTAATTCCCTGAAAATAGTTATAATTCAGGTTGCTATTTAAAATACTGGAAACATCTAACAGAGGACAGGCTCCTTGGTTACACCTATATATACACATATATATGTATATATCTATCTCTGTATCTATATAGATATATAGATATCTAAACATATATGTGTGTGCATATTTCCAGTTAGTGAGCCATTAATAAGAACTCCTTGAACACAGTGTTTTCTCTAGTCTGTCTCCCCTGGTGGCTTATGAAAATGTTGAGGGAGACAGTGTTAAAAAACTTGCTCTGCTCAAACTGTGACATCTACTGTATCTCTTCTAGGCATGTGCCCTGTTACAAGAGAGCAGATTGGCTTATGTAACTGCTGCTTATGTTTTAGTCTAACTTAATCTATTTTGGTAAAATACTAATATTTACATTTGCAGCATTGCATCCCTCCTTTCTCGAGTTCATGTTAAGCCTTCTGCTTTAAGCTTCCTGTCCCTCAGTAGTTATTTTAGCTCTCAGTGCTTGCTTTTCATTCCTGTTCAACTGTTGTGATGTGGTAATATTTTACCAATCATATTTCTGGGTTGTGAGGTTTTTTGTTTGGTTGGGTTTTTTGGTAGGGACTGACTTTGTCATGTGTTATTGTGTTGGAAATATTTGTTACTTGTAGTGTTGTACTTGAATACGAGCGTCAGCTCTTTTTGACGTCACCTCAATCTGATATGTCTTCATTTTTGTTGTAGACCCTAAAAAAGATAAAACTATCAAAATTTAAAGCTGTATATGTGATATTTGATCTTGCTGGAGAGTATCCCTGTTATTTTTTTAATGCCTTTCTCAGTCATAATCAGTAATAACTCAGAGTCTGAAGTGCTTGTTAACATAGGCAGAATCCCACTGGTGTCCCTGGGAATTTTGCCCTCAAAAATGAACAAACAATTAGTGTAAGGATTTCTGTCTTCAGACAGTAGCTGAATGGGCATTTGGGGAGTGTGCCATTCAGGTTGCCAACCCCAAATTTCTCTCCCTGCCCAAGTCAGAGAGCTGTCTGTAATTACTGCTACTTAAAGGGCTCAGCCAACTGTG